TCTTGGCAAGGGTCAATCCCTTCAACGAAGTCGGCCTCATCCTCACTGTCGGCAGAATCAGGATCCAACAAATGGCCAGAAGCTCCGTATTCAGGAGGGGCGGTAATCAGATCCAAAGCTTCGCGCAATGTGTATTTGGTGTGTCTGGATTGTTGCTGCATAATAATGTAATGGGTGGATGTGTTTGAGTGTGTAGAAAGTGTGTGTTGTGTGTTTTGTACAAGTGTATGTTTCTAGAAAAAGCATTGCGATATTACGGGTGAGTGAGAGAAAAAACTAAATTTCCCGGGGAAATTCCTGTCACTTCCTGTTGTTGTTGGACCGGCCCACGTAATAGGTCACGCTGACAACATGATGAGGCGCAATCAAACGTAGGAAGTGACGTGAACAGCTGATCAGATCGATAAAGAGTCTGGCTGAGGATTATGGTTTTTTTTTATTTGTTCACTTTTTACATGATTTCTGCAAACATATTAGAGGAAGGAAACATCACTCTGGGAAAAGCCGCATGTGTGATGTGTAAGTACAACTCCTCCAGTTTCATATGCAAAGAAAATTATTGCGCTAGCTTACATGGTTGCAGTTCTACTGGGATTTAAAAATAGTTACGCAAATCGGAGCGGGGCCGCTCTGCTCGGCTCTAAAGGGTTAACCCTGGCCTTTCAAGCACGCCACAGCAGCTTCGAGGAATGCATGGTGTGAGACCCGATGGCGCTGGGGCAGGACAGAGCACGTCTACCATCTCTCAAGGATCACTCGGAACGAGGATCGCACTCGCACCCCTGAGCCTACCAAAGTTTTTTGGGAACAGGAGGAGCTACTGGGGCTGGAAGAGTAACTGGGGGACCCTCCAAGCGTTAGCGGAACCCACAGGTTCCCCGGAGTGCAGGCTCTTCCACCTGATGGACAGTATTGCTGATCCAGTGAAATGTGAACTTAGGCTGTCTCACTGCCGTACTGCGAGCGAGGTTTTCCAGGTTTTAGAAGACTGTTATGGTGACGTATCACTAATAGCAGATGATATTGTACTTGAACTACAGGAGTTACTGGGCGTGCGCAACAACAAACCCAGAGAGGTTTTACAGTTAATCCAAGCTGTAGAGAGGTCGCTGTTGGACATAATAGACCAAGGTTGTGAAGATGCCATAAAAAATCAGTTAGTGATCCGGTCACTTGAGAGTAAGTTGCCGGACAGTGTGAAGGAAAGGTGGCTTTTGTACCGATGTGATCCTGTCGACGATGTCAGTCCACAGAACCGGTTTGATAAGCTATGGCAGTTCCTGAAAGATCAGAAGACAGTTCTGGTGCAACTTGAGCAGTTGCAATCAATCAGACAGTCTAATACTACCAGGGCAGCTGATCCGAGCCCCCGCGAGAAACCAAAAAAGAGACCAAATCGGAGGATGGAGAGACGTTCATTCACCAAAGCTACTGCAAGCGAGACGAGAGGTGAGCTGTCCCAGAATCCTTGCTGTTTGTGTGGCGAAGAGGGTCATACAGGGCATTTATACCACTGTAAGACGTTTAAAAAGGCCAACCCGTCAGAGCGGAGAGCTTACGTGAAAAAGACAAAGGTATGTCCCAGGTGTCTGGACTCCCATGGGAGGGAAGACCCGTGTAGTAAAAACTTTCTGTGTCGTAATGAGGAGTGCAGAAGGGGTGATGCCTTATCGGATCACCACTTCTTCCTGCGTCTTAAAACCCCAACTAGGAAAGATGCAGCCAGGCAGGGGACCAAAGGGGATAAAAGGAGAGAACCCCGTGGCCCGACGGAAGAGCAAGAGGCTGTGTTTGCTGGCCTAGGTCTGTCCCCGGAGCAGCTGAAGGCTGTTCGAAAGGCGTGCACAAACAAAGTGACTTCAAAGTTGTGGGCAGGCAGAGGCTCGGAAGATGAGAGTTGTCTGAAGGAGCTCCCGGTCCTCATGATGTTGTTGGATGTCACCACCAAGAGGGGAGACTGGATTGGAGCTCTCATCGATTTAGCCTCTGACACGAATTACCTCACCCACCAGGCGGCGGAGAGGCTTGGTCTGCTCAGTGAACCAGTCACCTTAGTTGTTCATGGTGTTGGTGGCATGGAGGCAAAAGTAGAGATAAAGAGATAAAATATGTCAGTAAAAATACTATGCAAATATTGCTGTCCTTGAATGCTGAGTAAACACTGACAGAGCACTGATTGTATCTCTTGTACTTTATCAACTCAGTATCTAAAAACTTTGCACCGTAGTGGTTAAAATCTCATTCTAATAAGAGTTAAAAGAACATTCGGTTATTAGGTTTACAGGGTTATTGAATTATGGTTAACGATTGGTAGAATTTTTTTAACATTATCTGCCAATTACATCTGCCACCCTTCTCCAAATCTGTGCCCCTACCTGGCCCCCCCAACAAAAATTTTCTAGACACGCCACTGCTCTCGCTCTCTCTGTCTCTCTCTCTCTCTCTCTCTCTCTCTCTCTACTTCAAGAACAGTTTCCTGTCTAAAAATCTATTTTCTGCATTATTCGCTTGCTTGTTACGCACAAGTCTACCGTTGTTTACAGCGCTGTCGGCCGCTGTTTTATTTTCCTTTTACATACTTCTGAAAAGAAAACCTAATTTCTGCCGTTCAATACTGTGCAAATGTAAACTTTTTAAAATTATGCAAAATGCTTAGCCATGTCTCTAATAAAACCGCTGTAACGTCAGAGGTAACATCCATATGTTGATTAATGGTTTTCTTTCGTTTTTGATCTATTGCAGAATATTTGTATAAAATCCCAGGCCAGGAAAATCACCTTCATGTTTTTCTGTGTTTTATCTTCAGCTGCTTTGACACAAAGGCATCTGCTGTGACGCTTACACCTTTGATAAAGTCTTGCGTGCGTCGGCTTCCTTTTTATAGATACAAAAATATGTAAATGTACTGATCTGAATTATAATATTTCTGACTGGCAAAATTTCCCAGATTCAAATCGAATTGAATTGAATCGAATCAAATTGTGGATCGAATCGATTCGGGACCTTGTGAATCGGAAACAAATCGATTCTAGAAATCAGTGACGATGCCCAGCCCTATAAACAACGTAGTGTTTGCTGTGCAGTACAGCGAGGAGTGCTCAGACCTCTACATGGGGTGTGTGTGTGTGTGTACGTGTGTCTTTTCTTGCCTCATCTCCTCACCGTATGGAGTTGTGACAGACTTCCTGTTTCTGGTTTTAATCCCTGCACACAGCTACATTGCATTTTGCACACTCAGTGCTGACTTTGGTTTCAGTTTCAAGTGATGAAGATGACAATCTTCTTCTTTGTGCTTTGTCCAGGCTGCTTTTTTCCTCTGGCTGAGTTGTGTCTTTTCTCAGCCCACACTTTCCCATTGCTTTAGTGATCGGGGTTTGCAGCTGGGGATGACCTTCCAGCTGACTTCTCAAATGTCCAGCTTTATTGCTGGACTTCTTCTTTGAGAGCTCAGTAAGAAAGAGCCAATTATGCACTGAAGATGTCATTCTTGAATTCAGGGCGCTGAGCGGTTGAAAAGGTGTAGGGTGGCAGTGTGAAGTTGTAGCATAGCACCATGGGCCACCTCTACAACAGCCGCTCTAGTGAACATGGAGTTTCCTCTCAGTGTATCATGTTTTTATTGAACTTGAAACTCATTTTGAATATTTTGCCTCATGGATGTCGTCTTGCTCTATACATAATTTGGACTTTTTGAAGCTTGAGCAGCTCATTAAATTGAAGTATTTTTAATTTGATGAAGAGTGAGTCAGACGCTTGATTGAAGCGCGTGTTATTAATGATTCTTATTGCTTTTTGCTGGAATATATATATGTAGGTTGGAAATGCTCTTCATTAAGCACCTGTCACTGGTTTAATATCATGCAGTTCATCACTGTGACCACCTAGGGGCAGTAAGCTGTCATCAGTCAGTATCTCTCTGCTGACAGTGTTTTTATCAGTTTAATAATATCTGTGTTCACATATAGAGTGTCATTATCACACTGATGAATATTAGTGCTGAAATGCTGCAGTGAATGTGTCCTAATGTCAGTATTATTGTATGTGGACAGTTATAGTTACTGACAGTGACCACTGGAGGGCAGTGATGCTCGTAGTTTCACTGGAACAGTCCAGAAGCCTGTCAGTGAAACACCATTAGACGCTCAGCGACGTCACTTCAGGTGTAACTGTGTGTTTTCAATGCTATGAATGTGCTTCGTTACCATGGAAACGTCTAATTTTTTATCGAGGCTCTTATTGTGAAACATCAGCAGCAGGAAGTGTGTTTTTCTCTGTGAAGACAAACCAAGTGTGAATGTGTCTTGGTGAGCTCACAGTCAATGTTTGTGCTCCTCATTTCTCTCAGCAGTCTAAGAAATGCTCACTCTGTTTGTACATCACTTATTGTCAGCAATAGAGCTCATTCTGCTGTGTGGACATAAACACATGTAACATCACTTCCTCTTTGTTTTTGATGCAGCGTTTTATCAAATTAGAGCTGCATGAAAAACAATGAAACAGCTTCTAAAAGTTTGAGATCAAAGCAAATCTCTGTCAACAAATTCCAGCAGAATATTCACCAGGACCCTTTGTGATAATTTTCATGTTTCATATAAACTAAAGTGATACACAACATATGCAGTGCTATACACAGATATTTATTAACAATAAACAGTAAGAGCATGTGGAAAGTTTGGAAACATCCCATTAGGAAAGAGAAATCAAACATTTGGATTCATTTTAATGAGCTCAGACTTGTTAAAAATGCAGAGGAGCTGGTTGTGAACGGAACTTCAGAGAAACATAACATACTGAAATTCAATGTGAAGCTTTGAGTGGAAAAAGACAGAAAAACAACATGTGGATGTTGTAATAATGGGAGATTCCATCTTTAAAGGACTGAAGAGGAAGACTTTTACAAGGAACAAAACAAGGAATCATTTAGAAGAGTTTCAAACATCAACTGATTGAATCCATGAAGCTGAAAACGGGTTTGTGAGTGAAAGAGACAGACATGTACAGACTGAACTATCTGTTCAACAGTCAGAGTGTTTCTGTAACAGGAGACACTCTTTACACTCCACTCAGCACAGGGACAGTGAAGCTCCAGAACAAACCCAAAACCCAGGATAAAGAGTTTCAGTGAATGTGGTGTTGAAGGTGTGGAGGTGGATCAGAGTGTCAGAGGAGACTCTGTAGAAGGACAGAGTGCCAGCATCACAGTCCACATACACTGCTGCTCTGTTAGAGACAGAGGAGGAGGAGGAGGAGGAGGAGGAGGAGGAGGAGATGGGTGTTTGTCTGTTATTGTGTCTGAGAGAGCGAGGAGCATCATCAAAGCAGTCCAGACTCCAGGACTGATCATTGTGTCCAAACACACAGTCGATGCTTTTTCCTTTCCTTGCAATTTGTCTGTAACTTACTGATATCTCAACTCTTCCTCTCCACTCAACCTCCCAGTAACAGCGACCAGTCAGACCATTTCTACACAGCAACTGAAACCAGCCATCAAATCTGTCTGGATGATCAGGATATGACTGAACCTCCTCCACATGTGTCACCTTCCTGTTGTTGTCAGAAATGTGGAGGTTTGTGTTCACTGTGTTTGTGTCGATTGTGAGTTGACAGGAATCTGATGGAGAGAACAAACACAATCCAGCTGCAGTTATTGATCCATCATCTGTTCATTGATTGACACTTTGATGATGACTCCTCACATCAGAATGATGAAGATGGTTGAATGTGTGCTGCTTTGTTTTCATGAATCCCATTAAAAACACACTTACACTTCCTCAGACCTGGTCTCAACCATCGGACTCCAGCAGGCTCCACCCTGAAAGGAGGAGGGGGGTCAGAGCAGCACAGTCAGCATGCACACATGGACATTACATGGCTCTCATACACACACTGTTACACACTGATAAAGGAACAGTCCAACATTTTCACAAATATATTTCAATCCATACATGGATCAAACTGCTGATGATTTGGACTGATCCTGGATCTGTCAGTACATCACTGTATTAAATGAAATATGACCGATTCAAACTGTGACCTTCACTATCTTTATATTCCTCTTCTGTTAAGCTGAAATGGACACCTCCCTGCTTTTGCTGCCAGCTGTTTTTCTACTCTTGGTGTCGGTGTGGTAACTGTACATGACCTCTGACCTCTGAGTGAGTACAGTGTTGTTTTCATATGTTTTAATGCCGCCTGAAACCTGCTCATGTTCTGATTTAACTGCAGATTAACACTGTGCTTAAAGGGGATTAGTCTGTGGAAACCGGATATTTCTTTGGAATGGCTGTAGATTTTTATTTAACTCTGATTCCTTTAATGTGATTAATGTGAAATTTGGAGATGTTAGTTTTTTAATGAAAAAATTTAATCATTGATTACATACTAAACTAGTTACTTAATGTGGAAATAGCATTTACCAGGAGGCTGCTTTTATTTTAAAATTAGGTCTTAGTTTATCCTACCTACATACCTACATAACTGACCTTGTCTGAATATTTAGTGTTAACTTCACCATAGTTTCAACTAACAATCTCCTACAATCAGTCTAGTGCAGGGGTGTGAAACTCAAATACACAGTGGGCCAAAATTTAAAACTGGAACAAAGTCGCGGGCTAACGTTAATATTTATTGAAATTTATTTATTCCTCCAGATATTCTTCAACCAAGGTTTAAGAATATCTGGAGGAATAAATATAGTGTTCTTACTGTGTTTTACAACTTGTTTAACATGTTATTTCATTTTAAACAACATTTTATTCAACATGAACAACAAATTCATTCAACAATGGTTGGAATTTTAGAGAAAAAAAGAACAGAAGAGAAAATCAGATTTATTCCATTTTATAATTGTTACCTGCTTAAGAGATTGTTCAATGAAAACATTTTCCTACTTTCCATTCAGGATTTGTAGCAAAAAATTGGTATGCAGTAAATCTCCGCCATCACTCTTCATGTCATTCACATAGTTCAAATGCAATTTTTCAGTCTTTCGCTGTTTCTCATTTCTCACTTTGTACATCCAACACTCCTCTCCTCACATCTTAGCCCCTCACATTAAAGATGTGAGCAGAGGAGCTGAGGCAACAAGTGTTCATCCTTGTTTTGGACACTCATTTGGAAGATAAATAGTTTTCTTACCGCCCAGTGCTAAAGACATCAACATATTTAACAACACTTTAAATGAATACTATTAGTGCAACATGACAGGATGTCATATTTTTCTTTGTTTGTTTGTTTTTTAAATTACAAAAAATGTTGAAGGGCTGGCATGCAGGATTTAATGAATTAAAAATTCTTGTTTTATTTTTAAAGTGTTATTTATTCTTTTTTTTTATTCCATTTAAATTTTGTGTCATGTTTAACTCAAGTCTTCCATTTTAATCATTCCATTTTATTGTTCTTAATGGGGTGGCTGTGGATCAGGATGTAGAGCAGGTCACTTACTAATCGGAAGGTTGGTTAAGGTTGGAAAAGCATTGGAAATAAAAGTACTTGTATGAATGGGTGAATGTGGAATGTTGTATAAAAGCGTTTTCAGTGCCCAGAACAGAAAAGAACTATATGAGGACCAGACTGTTTACAATTTTTTCCTCAGTCTTACTGTTAATTGTATTTATTGATTTTCTATGTTGGTACAATATTGTACAAATACAATATTTTTTACTGTGTACTGGTTTTGCTGTATATGAATAAATAAAGGCAGTTTTTCAAGCTTCTTTGCTTTCAGCTATATAGAGGAAAGAATGCATGTGGTTTTTACATCATACCTTTATTCTGATCATAAACTTTAACTGCCTAACAGTTTCCTCAGTCTTTGTGCAATGCTAGGCTAAATATGTTTTAGGCCTATTTCTATTTCTATTCAGATTTTAATCAAATCTTAACCAGGGTCAGAGGGAGAATTCTTTTCTCAAAATGTCTGCCCAGTTAAACACAGATCTACCCTAATGATGAATAAATGAGCAAAAGGCATGTCATACCTGCATGAAAAAAATAACAGGAAGTGAGTGAATGACACAGGAAATGTTTCCAGCTCCTCCTTCTCTATCAGGCCTTCTCTCCATACCTGAGAGTGTCCTGTCTCCAGCGTGGATCCTTCAGCAGCTTCATTCCCGAGTTCTCTAGATGATTGTAGCTCAGGTCCAGCTCTCTCAGGTGGGATGGGTTGGAGTTAAGAGCTGAGGCCAGAGATGTACAACTGTCTTCTGCAATCACACATCCTGACAGACTGCAGACACAGAGATATCAAATACAGAGATTGTAATCTAACTGTGTGTAGCAGGCAGGATCGGACCCAAAATTCACAACTCTCAGAGACGGAACTGAACTCAAAACGCAGCTTTATTGCCCCGACCGTGACCGTGCCCCGAAATGAGTAGGGCTTAGAGTAGAGTTGCTGCTCCTCAACCACATAAAAGGTGTCAGCTGAGGTGATTCGGGCACCTCATTAAAATATTGATATTATAGTAATTTGGGGTAAATTTGTAGTTTATCATTAACAGGAACACAGTAGAAAGAAACTATATCATTCGTTTACATTGGAAGGAACTACTTCCTCTTCCACCTTTCATAGTCATGTGTGAAATACGTCTGTATAAATGTGTCGCAGCCCCTTGGAGTGCGCACTCACAACAATGGCTAAGCGTAAACTGAGTCATATGTGGACGTATTTTACCTCCATAAACAGCCAAGAAGCGGTTTGCCATACACGTGACAAGACAGTGAGGTGTTGTGGCAACATCACTAACCTCGTCAAACACCTCAGAGTAAATCATATCACAGAATATGATGAGCTTATGTTGAGGCGAAGTGAAGAGAGAGGAGAAGGACAGGTGCTGCTAGGGTGAGACAGACGTCCCTCACCAAGCCCTTTAGTGGTGCAGGCAGGATACATGTTCAAATAGTGCACAACTTCAGGTTTTTTTTTTTATTTCTATATGATAATTCTGCATTATTAAGCGATAAGAACCATTTGTCTGATTTCTTGTAATCATTATGAAGCTATAATTTGAAATACATAAAACATTACATTTTTGTACAAAGTATCAGTATTGTCTATACCACCCTGAATTTTACTTGGTATCAGATCGGGAAGGAAATCATTGGTATCGCACATAGATGTGGTGAAGAGAGGAAAAATATGCAAGAAGACATTGAAAATCTAAGACCTAATGAGATGGGTTTGGAGAAACAAGATGTAATGGATTCATTCACATTTGTGAAACATAAAAAAAGAGATGCGCCTTTTTGTTGTTTTCGTGCTAAGCTAATAGACAGAATGCTACTGCTCTAAAGAATGTAGCATCATGGGCAGTGTAGTCCGTGTTGCAGGGAGAATGGACTGCCATACCCGTTATGTGTCTGTGAGCGCGAGGAGGGAGAAAAAGGCGAGTGGAAAAGAACGAGCTGTCATTAAGCAGAAACGGGAGCTGGAAGCATGTAAATATAATAATAACCACTGCAGCCAAGAAGAGTGCCTGACGAGCCCAGTTGTAAGTAAGCTATTAAGACTCGACTGTACGCTGTGTTCGTGTTTTCCTCCGAAACAATAAGTTCCGTTGGAGCAGCCTTTCAACACCTCTCTCTGTCTCTCGCAAGAAAAGTTGACCCACAAAACAAACTAAAGCTATTTTTCGGCTACGAGGCCAACACGGAACCCAACGTATTAGCCAGAGGTCCCTTTACTACAGTTCGGACCTTCATTAACAGTAATAAATCACAGCAATAGTACATTCACCTAGTTGTAAAAAGCATGATAATATAATGAGTAATCCAAAGTATTCAGAATATGTTACTGTCATTGAGTAACGTAACGGAATCCGCTACAGAATACATTTTGGGGCATGCATTCTGTAATCTGTAATGGAATACATTTTAAAAGTAACCTGCATATCACCTCTCCCTTTAATGTGCACAGGACATGCCCTGGTTAAAAATGACAAAGAATTCTCATATTGTTATAACAGCGTTGCTTCTGGGTGGAATATTAGTCTGTGAATTCAATTTGTAAGCAAAGAATCACCAAGTGCATAAAGTTTAGCTATTATTGCAATAATGTATTTCAGATTTAACATGACTATAAAACTGAAAGTCTGAATTCTGACCTGAGTTTTTGTAATCTACACTCTGGACTCTTTACTCCAGCAGACAGAATCTTCAAGCCAAAATCTTGCAGGTCGTTGTTACTCAGGTCCAGCTCTCTCAGACTAGAGGACTGGGAACTGAGAACTGAGGACAGACCCACACAGCTTCGTTCTGAGAGGTTGCATTCAGCTAGTCTGAAAAAAATAAAGTCAATGTGATCAAATTAAATCATTTTCAATATTAAACCTGTTGAAAAATTATTTTCTACGGTTTCTAGAAGTTTCAATTGTTCGTTCTGCTGGCCTTGGTTCCATCCACTATTATTTCACTCCCGTTAATTGTAGACCAATTTGGATGTGTCACAAAATAGAGGAAAAAAACTTGTGGGCTTGGAGACAAGATTATGAGTGAACTAGAACTGCAGCTATCAATTATTTTAGCAATCAAATATTCTATTGATTATTCCATCAATTAAACAATTACTCCAATAGGAATTACTTTTGTCTTATTAACGAGCAGTGACAAATATTAAGAAGAGAAAAAAAACAGTCTTAAATGAACTTCTAATTGGTTTCCATTGCAGATATTACAATGCTTTATTAGCCATTTTGGTCATAGATTTTTTTTTTCAAGACAACAATACACCTTAATGCAAAAATACATACATATATGTACATAAATACATCCAATACATTATTCATGCAGTCTAAACATATAATTAAATTGCCTTTACCCTGTCTTCTTGTAAGGCTTTATGACATAAAAAGGAGGCAAAATAAGCTCTGACAGTATCATATCTCCTAGAGGACCTAGATTTGGTTTCTGTTCATATGCAAATGTACTGTTTATAAGATTGGGGAAACATGCAGTCAGCTGAGACTGAAGAAGTCACTTGGATGAGTGACAAAATGTTTCTCCCAAAAAACGCTATGTCCAGATGAACAGAATCAACTTTTGGAGATTTACTTACCTGGATGATTAAACATGCATAAAGACTTTCTTGGATGTGACAACAGCAACTCATGTGAAATATAAAGAACATGAGCAGTTTCAGAGTATGGGCCTGACCTTGACACAAAAAAAGCAAATTGACATATTCAACTGAGCAGTTCACTGACGTTGTTGAGAAATTGAAAGGAGAGATTATTATTGTCCCTCTCTTAAAGTTTGTTTTTCTCTCTCTGCCTCTCTGTCTGTTCTTGTTGCTCCCTCCCTTCTCTCACTATCTGTTATTGTTTGTCTTTGTATTCATTACGGGGTCTTCCTGCCTTTGGCTGTACACACCTGACAGCAATCGACCACTTGTGGCTCATGATCTGAGAGAGTTGAATTGTTGGATGCCTGTTTTTTCTACTCTGGATCCCTGGAGCCACATTAATCCTTATACACTTTGTATATAGCACATTATGGTCGTATCACTGTAAACAAGTGCACTAACTATGATTCTCCTGAGCTCAGTGTGTGAGTCTATTCCAGCATATAGTGGAGAAATGTGTAAGAACTTAGCAGAGAACAGAAATCTAGCCTGTTCCATGTACATTAGATGTGAATAAAGCATGCCATGGGTTTTTACTTTTCTTAAATTTTCAGGCATTAATACTTATCACCTGTAGATAAAACATGGACTGTTTCTGATTGGTAGCATAAATATATGAAAAATGATGACACTCCCTTGCGTTGGCTTTTTAAACAACATAATACTGCTATGCACAGTATTAGATTGTTTAAAAAGCCAACACCACTTACAAACATAAATGTTTCTTGAATCGTGCATCCCTTTTTTGTACACTTTAGAAGTAAAGATATGACCACAATTTACTTACACAGCTTTGTTGGAAGCTTTGATCACTGGCAGCATCCTCCGAAGAGTGTCCTCTGATGCAGAGTATTTCCTCAGGTCAAACACATCCAAATATTTTCCTGATGACAGTAAGATGAAGACCAGAGCTGACCACTGAGCAGGAGACAGTTTTTCTGTGGAAAGTCTTCCTGATCTCAACGACTGTTGGATCTCTTCCACTAGAGAATGATCATTCAGTTCATTCAGACAGTGGATCAGATTGATGCTTTTCTCTGCAGACAGATTCTCACTGAGCTTCTTCTTGATGTATTGGACTGTTTCGTGATTGGTCGGTGTGCTACTTCCTGTCTGTTTCAGCAGACCTTGAAGGAGAGTCTGATTGGTCTGCAATGAAAGACCAAGGAGGAACCGGAGGAACAAGTCTAGGTGTCCATTTAGATTCTGTAAGGCCTTGACCACAGCACTGCGGTGGAGAGATTGTAGTTTTGGTTTGCTAAATAGTTTAGATAATGTGGATGTTGTTTGATGTTCTTCTAGAAGATTGACTCTGGAGTTGATAAAGGTCAGATGGACATGGAGAGCAGCCAGAAACTCCTGAACACTCAGATGGATGAAGCAGAACACCTTGTCCTGGTACAGTCCTCTCTCCTCTTTAAAGATCTGTGTGAACACTCCTGAGTACACTGAGGCTGCTATGATATCGATGCCACACTCTGACAGGTCTGATTCATAGAAGATCAGGTTTCCTTTCTGCAGCTGATCAAAAGCCAGTTTTCCCAGTGACTCAATCATCTTCCTGCTCTCTGGACTCCAGTGTGGATCTGTCTCAGCTCCTCCATCATACTTGACCTTCTTCACTTTGGCCTGAACCACCAGGAAGTGGATGTACATCTCAGTCAGGGTCTTGGGCAGCTGTCCTCCCTCCCTGGATTTCAGCACATCCTCCAGAACTGTAGCAGTGATCCAGCAGAAGACTGGGATGTGGCACATGATGTGGAGGCTTCGTGATGTCTTGATGTGGGAGATGATCTTTTTGGCCAGACTGCTTTTTTTAAATCTCTTCCTGAAGTACTTTTTTTTCTGTGAATCAGTGAACCCTCTGATCTCTGTCACGATGCCAACACAGGTAGGAGGGATCTGATTGGCTGCTGCAGGTCGTGTGGTTATCCAGAGGTGAGCAGAGGGAAGCAGGTACCCTTGATGAGGTTTATCAGCAGCACATCCACTGAGGTGGACTTTCTAGGGTCAGTTAGGATTGTAGTTCTGTGGAAGTCCAGAGGAAGTCGACACTCATCCAGACCATCAAAGATGAACACAACCTGGAAGTCTTCAAAGCTGCAGATTCCTGCTTCTTTGGTTTCAGTAAAGAAGTAATGAACAAGTTCCACCAAGCTGAACTTTTCCTCTTTCAGCACATTCAGTTCTCTGAAAGTGAATGGAAATATGAACTGGATGTCCTGGTTGGCTTTGTCTTCAGCCCAGTCCAGGGTGTATTTCTGTGTTAAGACTGTTTTCCCAATCCCAGCCACTCCCTTTGTCAGCACTGTTCTGATTGGTTTATCTCTTCCAGGTAAAGGTTTAAAGATGTCTTCTTGTCTGATTATTTTTTCTGGTCTGTGTGGTTTCCTGGATGATGCTTCAATCTGCCTGACCTCATGTTCATCATTGACCTCTGCAGTCCCTCCCTCTGTGATGTAGAGCTCTGTGTAGATCTGATTCAGGAGGGTTGGGTTTCCTGCTTTAGGGATCCCCTCAAACACACACTGGAACTTCTTCTTCAAGACAGACTTGAGTTGCTGTTGAAAAACTACAATGGGAGATCCTAAAGGAACAAAGGACACAACATATCAATGAAATATGTCAGCTTAGATTCATTTCAAACTGTATATATTTGAAATGTTACTAAATGTTCCATCTATTCAGCAGCTTAAATCTTTATAGCAATCATCTTACTGTTTTGGAGACAGTCAGCCAGCTTCTCCTGCTTCATTCTCCTCAGAAAGTTCAGTGTGATCTTCATAAATGCCTCTCTGTTGCTACTCTCCTCATCATCCTCCCTCTGACTCTCTGAGCATTCTGAGTAATCTGGACTTAGGCACTTTTGGATCTTCTTCAGCTCGTTCTTCACAAAAGTGGTGATGTTGTCCTCCAGGAACTGGAACAGAATACTATAAGAATGACCAAATCAGACTGAATGTAAGGGCCTGGGTCTAGGGACCTAGGGCACATGTATTTCTGCATTTGTTTATTTTTCCATGTGCTGTGTTTTGGTGGTGTTCTCTCCTTGTTTTCCTGTCTCTCTGTGTATGTTTGTGTGTTTATGTTCGGTCATGGTCCCGGATGTTTTGGGTCACCGAGGAGGCGCGACCTGGAAGCATTCCCGCATTGAAGGCTGCCACACCTGCTGCTCAACAGCCATCTCAAGCCGCAGCTGATGGCCACTTTCTGAGCACCCTATTTAGAAGGGTGGCTGGGCTCCAGTCAGCACTGGATCATTGCGTGAGACTTCCCGTCAGTTCTCCAGCTAGTGAGTTTGTGAGTGTGAGCTTACCACAGTGAAGTCAATTGTACTAATGGCTTCCTCTGTGATTTCTCGCATGAGTGCAGAAACGAGAGGGCAGCAGGCATGGAGTACACGGGCACTAGAGAGCGGACACACGTAGCACAGACACTTGGAGAAGACACAGAGTGGGAGTCGGGGACGCACAGGGATTTATTGTTGTGTATAATTCACCACACCGTAAATAAATGCATTGTCTGCATTGAAGAGTCCTGCGTTTGGGTCCTATTTCTCCACATTCCCACAGTCTGCCATGGCATACCATGACAGAACAATCCAGCCAGAATGGACCCAGTGGACAATACCTGCCAGAATACTGTAGAGAGGTGACGCGGTTCCGTGAGCTTGTCAGCTGCGCTCTCACGGCTCCTGATTCACGGACTGTGGAAGTGATTATTGACATTGCTGAAGCTCAGTTAAACCATAACCCCCTCATTCTCCAGTTCCCAGATGCTTCTGCAATTTTCAGCGCCTTTGGAGAAGTTAAAGGTTAAAGGCATTGCAGGACCGCGAACCAACATTTCCCATTTCATTCTCAACTTAGCCCGGCCCGCCGTAGAATTCGCAACCTGGCCTGCTGGTCCCGCCTTCATGGAGGAGAAGGTGTTCTTTACTATCGGTGCTCCACCACATCTCCACTCACTCCTGCGGGATCTGCGGAGTCAGCTGACTCTGGGTCAGCTTCGCAAGACACCACAGCGAGTAAAACAGACTCTGCCATCGTTGAAAATTCACTCGCTGTGAGTAAGAGTACAGAGACTGTTTTTTCTATGCATTTGGGCAGCGCCAGGAATGTGAATGAGGGAACTAAACCCACAATAGTAGAGGAGTTAAGAGATTCAGCATTACCGGAGAATAAATGTTGGCTGGCAGCTAATTCTGGGTCAGTGTTTGGTGTAAGGAGCGTTGAAGTTTTTCTTGTGCTCATTTTCAGCCCAAAGTTTTAGTGCTAGAGCCTGTTAGCTTTGAGGCTGTGAACTCAGAGGTTTGTTGTGTGGCTGTTAAATGGACAATTTTAGAATTTGAAACTAAAGATCCTGAGTCAGTGGACTTTGAGACTGTCAACTCGGAGTTGGGGCCAGTGCACTCAGAGCCAGTCAACTTTTCTGTTCAGTCAGTGTAGGAGCCATATGTGAGTCTTTCCTTTTTTGAATTAAGAGGGTTGATTTAAATGCACACATTTTATTGGTGCACGGTTGTGGGGCATGAGTCATGGGTGTGTATTAGATGATAAATGTGGTTGCTCTCAATCGTTCACCGCAACTGCTGTTGATGAGCAAAAAGGTAGGGTTGGCATGAGGGGAAACTTTCTGTTGACTGCAGCTTGACTGTAGCTTAACCGCAGCTGACCACAATTTGATGTATAGTTTAATGCACTAGTTGATGCCATAGTCTGATGTTGCAGTTTGGCATAGGAGGCTAATTAGTATAATATTTTTTGAGTTGCAGTCATGTTTGTTTGTGCAGTCTGTGCATTTGTTTTACATTTCATCCCATGTACTGATTTGTGGGTTTGGACAGTATAATTGTCAATGGAAAATTGTATTTAGTAGTCAGTATAATCTTTTAGTGATATAAGTTTGCTTATGGTAGGATGCTGTTTGTAGTTATTTGGTAGTGACAGGATGTGTGATTTTTAGCAGGCTTGGTTCACCCCCACATCCTGGGAGCATGGGAGAGGTCGTACCTTGTTTTATTGTTTTAACGTAGCTATGTCTGTTTTAGTCTAAGTGCTTTAACTGCTGGACTTCCTCACCGTGCCATCTAGGGTGGGGGAGACTACCCTCTTTATGACCAAGGATGTACCTTTTGTGCTTTCATGTTATATGACCCTTTGATCAACACACACACACACACACACACACACACACACACACACACACACACACACACTCTCTCTCTATTGGTATTTAAAGACGGCCGCAAAGATTTAAAGTAACGTGACAAATTAAAAATACGTTTAAGTAACGTGATAAATTAGGTTGGGTTCGCCGGAAGGAGCCGAATTTGACTAGTTTTAGAAGTAGCTGAAATTATCTCGTGACAAATTAGGTTTAAGTTTGCCAAAAAGGAACTCTGTTTTGACTAGTTTTAGAAGTAGCTGAAATTACTTCGTGACAAATTGTAAAAGCGCGCAAATGTCCATATGTGTGTGTGTCTGGAAGTAAGTTGATTTTACAGCACAATAAATTGCTGAACTACTTCCATTTTTGTGTATCCTGCAAGAGCCCATGTACTGGTGACAAAGGAAAAAGGTTGAGTTTCATCTCATAAAACTGATACCACTTCACCGTTAGGGTGAAGTCGAAGGCCGTATCAGTAAACCATTCCTGAGTCGAGCGTGCCAGAGAAAGCTTTGCAGTTCTGTGAAAATGGGGAATCAGCCCATTAAACTCACTGCTGACGAGCAGTGGCTGGAAAAGACATGTCCAGGGGCGGGACAAATAAGTGTAAACAGGTGGAGAAATCCACGAAAAACAAAAAGCTGTAACTGGAAAGGGAAATGCAGCCCCTCAGCTGTTACCCAGCTGGGAGCTGCCTTAAAACAAGAGATTACATTAACGAAAGACCCAAAAAATAAATTAAAACGTAATGAAGAGTATAGGTTTTTCCAAGCATGGAAAAGTGAAACTGAAAGGAGAACTGAAAATAAAATAAAAAAAGAGGAAAAGAAAAAACAACTAGCAGCAGCTTTAATAACCCCTGATGATGAAACTACAAAACAAGCATGTACTGAACAAAGACCTCCATTAATAGACCCACATAACTCTCTTTTAGACCCCTCCGTTAAATTTTCCGCACCAACTGTAGGAGAAACAGCCAGCATTACATCAAAACCTCATTTTGAACGATCTCCCATGTGGCTAAGACATAGGAAAATTAAACTTGACAATGCATACAGGGACGCACAAACGCTGTTAGCTGAGCATGAAATAGATTTTCATCCAGGAAGATCTGATCATGGCTCTGAAAAAGGGTGCAACAGTCGTGGTTCACACCCAGACCCACCACCATCATCTACATTAGCGTGTCCATTAGTTGAAGTGGCAAACCCCAGATATGGCACGCTCCTAGGTGATAGTCATGGAGGAGGCAGGGATGACAGACCCACGATCCTTGTTTACCGCCCGTGGACACATAAATATAGGCAGAATGTAATAAAAGGCATTCCACTAATACAGGAAGGATACGAACCATGGCAAGTTGCCGTGCGTGAAGTAATTACCCAGTGGCATTTAAACGGTCACGAGGTGATACAATTATTTCAAGACTGCCTAGGGCTCTCCTGGGGAAGAATTAGGGGAGACTTTACTGGCTCCCTACCAGATGATAGAGCGTTTCCCCCAGGTCATGCTGATCTCCAAGCAGCATTAATACCTGTGTTTGATAGGGCCCGTCAACAATTAGCGCCAAAGGCCAATTATGGTAAAATAGACCAAGTTAAACAAAGTAACACGGAAAACCCACATGAATACATGGACAGGCTGAGACCAGTTTTCAGACAGAACTCAGGTCTAAATTATGCTGATGACCCACAATCACCATACCAGCAACAATTTAAACGTGCTTTTATTAAAGGATTACTGCCAAGCATTAGGTCTCACGTAGAAAAATACTGGTTAACACAAGATACAGGCACAGTAGATGAGGCGCTTCAATATGCTAATCATGCACAAACAGTAGTGAAAAACAAAGAGAAGGCCTCAGTCTTTGCCCTAGACACTGACACCGTTTTTACGGCTTTTAGTGGGAGTGGGGGCTACAGGGGAGTTTTCAGAGGTCAAAGGAGAGGGAGAGGAATGCATAGAGGAGAAGCAAGAGGTAGAGGAAGGTTTCGACAAACACCAAACAGTGATTTTAACACTACATGCTGGAGGTGTGGAAAAGAGGGACACTTTGCACGTGACTGTAAGAGACAAAGAACACTTGACACAGAATGACTAGCTGCAACCACTGTGGCTGTAAACACCCAGATGGCTGAAAAAGAGAGCCACATAGATGAAAAAGAAGTAAAAGTTTTAACAAATGCGGAAAATAATTTAGAACAGGATGAAACTGAAGTATATAATGTTCATCAGCTAGTAAGTTTACTGGACGGGAAGCCAACGCTTACGATCTATGTAAATGGCAAAAAGTTGCAAGTGTTGTGTGACACAGGAGCTTGTAAAACAGTGCTTAAAGCAGAGCCCCCGCGCACAACCTTTTCTAGAGAAGTAGTAATGGTGAAAACAGCGTCAGGGCATGTAAAAACCCAGCCACTAACAATGCCACTGACATTTTTGCATAAACCCAGTCAACGCTCCTGTAACATGCCATGTATAATAGACCCAACCTGCCCAGTGAACTTACTAGGAAGAGACGCGATGGCAAAATTAGGGATAGGAGTCATCCCCACAGAAACAGGTATGACGGCAGAAATAATGTTAGTAGAGGGAGAAAGCAGGAATTTTAATAAAAACTAATTCTGCTACCTGCAATACTCCAATCTTCCCAGTTAAGAAAGCTAACACCGGAAAATATCGTTTGGTACACGATCTGCGAGCAATAAATGAAATTACTGAAATGATACCACCAGTAGTAGCAAATCCTCACACTATACTAAATCAAGTCACTCCAAAGGAACAATGGTTCTCAGTGATAGATTTATCAAACGCCTTTTTCTCAGTGCCTTTACATCCAGATGCGCGACATCTGTTTGGCTTCACATTTGAGGGACAGAGATATACCTATACTAGGTTACCTCAGGGATTTCAAAACAGCCCTACTCTCTATGCTGACGCTTTAAAGAAATCAATGATGTCCTGCTCTCTGCCAACAGAAGGACAGTTTCTACTTTATGTAGATGATATTTTAGTGACTGGCCACACAGAGGAAGGGTGTAAACAGAACACTATGGCTGTGCTGCGTCACCTGGCAGAGCAAGGCCACAAAATGTCTCTGAATAAACTCCAATTATGGAGACCTGAAGTAACAATAATGTAGAATAAAAAGAGCAAATAGCTCAGCAGTGCATTGCATGTGTTTATTGTTGCGTGCCGTCACTGTTCTCATGTTTAGCCTGCCGCAGCCGTTGGTTGGAGAAGCCAAAATAGTCTGGTTATTTGGGGACAGAGATTCTCCCCAGGGCTTTCCCAGAGGCTGAGTCAGTGACTGTTGCCACGTCTGGACCCCTGGAGACCCCTGTAATGTCGCCATCTACTTCACCATTTACAATAGCCACATCACTCCCAACTCAGCCATTAGCACAGCCTACAGCTCATCCACCTGCTCAGCCAACTGCTCAGTTGTGTGCAGTTCAGCCACTTCCATCCTCTGCTGAAAGCTCTGGGGAGCTCATTCTGCCAGCCGAGGACAGCATCTCGCTGCTGTTGCCCAAACTGACTGTTTGCACTGCACAGCCCCAGCTGCTACATTCCAAGCCGGCTATGTGCCCTGTGTAGCTGTGGTTGGCATCGCCCAAGTCAGAAGTCTCCACACCTACTCAACCACTTGCCATAACCACACCGCCATCATTGGTTCAACCGCCTGAAGCTGCCATGCCACTACCACTACCACTACAAACACCTATGGCAGCCACGTCGCCATCTTCTGCTTCACTGTCTGCAGCTGCTATGCCACCATCACCTCACCTAACTGCAGCTGATACACCGCCATCCTCTCCACCACCTGCAGCTGTGAGACCACCTGAGGGACCTGCTCAGCCCGAGTTGGAGGTCACCA